CCCCGACATCAGATTTCGTAGCACCCCTTAGTCTAAATATTATATGGTCTATGGGCATAAGTTAACTCTGAGCCAAATTTCATGCTTTCTTCCAATGATATTGCTAAGATCAACCAGTGGCGGATCCAGGGGGGTCGAAGGGGTCCACGGAACCCCCCTTGAAGGTTTGATCTTTTAGGCAATAGAAATATGTCTTATATAAATTTTGCTTAAAAGTATCCACAAGGATAATGTTGAACACGAAATGATAGATATTTGCTGTTATAATGTTTAATTTTTGATTAGAGCCAATTTTTTTGTCAAACATCGACTAAATAAAAGAGAATTATACACAGTTTAAGAAACGGAAGCCCCCTTTGAAAAATCCTGGATCCGCCACTGTCAACCTTAAGCCACCTCTCTTTTCGTTGCCAAGGTAACGTAACACGTTTTCTCACGTCGTCTCAAAGAGACGTTTCAGCTGATTCGCAAAGCATTGTGGGAGGAACGTCAAGGAACGCCTGTTATAAACTGCTAGTGGAAAAGATCAAAGGCGTTGTTTCCAACTTCAAAATATATATTTTATTTATTTTTATTCTTTATCTCGATTATACAAAGACTTACAACGAACATCGGCATGTCAACTGACTCTTACATGATACTTTCAACCAAATAATTTAGATCGTAATCTTTGTATAAAAGTGCAAAACATTGTGACAACTCGACTTTCGACATCATCATCAATATGGTAAAAAATGTTAACGCAAAGACGTGGCTTCCAATGTATTTGGCGTTTTTGTGGTATTCTAGATCTATTAACAGTGAAGTCTATGAATCCATTCAGTGGAGTCCATTCAATCCAAAGTAAGTTTGATGAAAATATAGCACTTCATATGTTGTTAGTAAAAAGTAGTTTATACTTTGCTGTACCCTAGCTAGCTTGTGACAACAAACTTCTTATCTTTAGTAGCAAAGCACACCTTCAAGTTATAATCGAAATGCTCTGTTATTAGAAATGAATGTTTCTGAGCTTTTTTTTTACAAGTGTGGTGGTGTGTTGTGTATTTAATAACATTCTCCTTATTGATTCTCTGGGTAATGTAGGTGATAATAAAATATTTAATGTTCTAGGGGGAGGGGGTCGGTTAGTTTTATTGTAAGGCAGATGAAAAATATATGCTAGTTCCAGTTATATGTTAAACTCCCCTGGTTATAAGCCCACCATTCTGTTGTTGCACATAAAAGATTAACTGGGAAGCGAAGATAAAAGAAATAAATTAAGTTTTTCTCATTATCCTAGACTGTTTTTTCTCTTTTTTCTTTTATATGCCCTCCCGAATATAAGCCCTCTTGGTCATAAAGTTAATTAATCAAAAACCTTACATAAGCCAAGGGCTTATAACTGGGATTATACACGATATACTCCTCTTATAATGTTGACGGATTTTACTTTTCTGGTCTTTCACAGATTTCAATTTACTGAGGATCAGTTCAAGCACAATATAGCTTACTACCGCCAAATTGTCTTACCTGAGTCACAAATAAATATCATTTGCCCAAATGTAGCGACAGTATTAACAAGCTTGACTGAATATCCACTAAGGGATAGCTTATATGAAAACCTATGGACAGTTGGTGAGGAAGAATTTTATTCTTGTCAAATAAACTCATCCAAGAGTGATAGTCGTTTGGTACTCATGTGTAATAAACCAGACAGTCTTCACTATCATACAGTAAATTTTATTCATTCGAATGCATCGGTGTCTTCTTCAAATCCTGTAAAGGGTAGTAATATTTATTTTTTAGGTGAGTGCTCAATCTTTTCTTTTAAGAAATATCTGGTTTGATGGTTGAACGATTTTCTTGATTCTTGTAAAAGGAAAAATAAACTTCTTTTTACAAATTATTATTACAATGATGATTAATACTTTAAAACTTGTAGCCATGCAGTTGCACGAAGGCTGGATAAAAGTTATCAAGTGTATAGAATTTGTATAGCTTTTATATGTTAGATATTAAGGATTTATCCAGCGGATAGCGCTATCACTTCAAAAACGTTTGCAAAGGTAATAATGCTGCATTTTATTTCCTGGATTTACCTCTGCACTGTTCTTTTTCCATGAAGCTTAATAATTAAAACACTGAATCAAATAAACATTTACTGTATGTACTAATTTTGTGGCTGTATAATTCATGCATTTTCTTGTTCATTTTTAAAATTTAAATTATTTGTCAAACCACAGCAACCTCCAATGGAACAAAAGAATCATTGAACCAGACCTCAGAAGGTCACTGCATGGACCCAACCAATGGAATATCTATGAGAATACAATTCAAAATTTGTGAAAACAACTCTACAGGTATTAATTTAGTATGTGCGCATATTTGTTATTTTTTAATTATAGCTTGGTTGATTTTTAAGAATGCAGAATATTTTTTTCATAGAAAACCTTTTTTTTTCAGATCAAAGTTGTAATAATTATTCACGATCAGTCAAAAACAAAACTATCAGTAAAGATATCAAGGCCTGTAAAAATATAACTATCAAAAGAACATCTTTAGAGAGAGATTTATCACAAGGTTGGTGTCTTGTTGTTACTTGTCCCTGCTATTTCAATAATATTTTGTCATCATCGCATACATCCCATCCATCCATCTATCCCATCCATCCCATCTATCCCATTCATCCCATTCATCCTATTCATCCCATCCATCCCATTATCCATCCCATCCATTGCATCCATCCCATCTA